TGATTTGGAACAAATTACCAAATAATATCAGAAATATTAGAAACTCTAATACATTCAAAAAGAAATCAAAAGAACATCTCTCAAATCACCAATGACATCAGGTTTCAATATATACAAATAGGCATGACTATATAATATCATTAATTCAATTTGTATCATATATTTACATGTACTGTGAAATCCCTTTCTATGTAAAAAGAATAACCATTGTATTTAATGGAATAAAGTATTTTGAATTTGAATTTGAATTTGACTCTCTCTCTCTCTCTCTCTCTCTCTCTCTCTATTTCTCCCCCCCCCCCTCTCTCTCTCTCTCTCTCTCTCTCTCTCTCTCTCTCTCTCTCTCTCTCTCTCTCTCTCTCTCTCTCTCTCTCTCTCTCTCTCTCTCTCTCTCTCTCTCTCTCTCTCTCTCTCTCTCTCTCTCTCTCTCTCTCTCTCTCTCTCTCTCTCTCTCTCTTTCTCGCTCTCTCTCTCTCTCTCTCTTTCTCTCTCTTTCTCTCTTTCTCTCTCTATTTCTCTCTCTCTCTCCCCTCCCCCTCTCTCTCTCTCTTTCCCAATTGCTTGCATGAAACGCATCCTGAACTTTGAGAGAACATTGGATGATTGTTCTGCCTTGCATTTCCGTCAGGACTTCCGCTTTGATTGCCGAAAAAAAGAGACAATAGCGAACGAAAGGGAAATAAAAAGAAAGGAAGATAATAAGAAAGAGCGACAGGGAGAGAGGGAGGGAGAGAGAGAGAGAGAGCACACAAACAACCAAATTTACATACACATTAAAACAAACAGAAACAGACAAACAAAAACAATGGACACAGAAGCACCACTTCCTCTTCTTTTGACGTGATATGAATACGAAATTAAAACTCACGAAATGATGGAGCGGACTTTTCTATTTTTGGCTCTGCGATCTCTGTTTGACTTTGGTTGTTTGTGAATCTATCTATTCATTAGAAATAATGTTAGAAATCTGCATTACTTTTGCTTATAACAAATAGACATTTACACATACAAACATAAGCACACATACAAATTATAAGGCTCTCATGACACACTGTATTTAAACCCATTACACATTTTCTTTCGAATTGGTCACTGCCATCACGCTATTAGCATATGACACCCCAAACGCACCTACCTCCTGTGTGACGTCACTGTTTACACCTGAACATCCTCTCTCCTCCACGTGTGACGCAATCGCTCTGCCTATTTCCTGTATCTTTTTTAATTCATGAAAAGGAATGATCATTGAGGTGATCAGCCGCACTAATTATATTTTGGGATGTGATCGGGGGCCACAAAATAAGCGAAGCAAAGGCCCCCAAGGATTTTCCTGGCTCGCAGTTCCATCTTACTAGGAATGCTATCTCGGCCGTTTGTTCAGAAGATTAAACTTCCGTCAGGCACATTCTACATCCGTCGTGAACTACCAGTTGACTCCATAAACACCTTTTGCAGAATCCATTGTCCAGCAGCTTCACCATAACCCTGGCACGGGGGGTTCATAGGGTACTGTCCTTGAACTCTGGCTGCAGTTTGGGTACATACAAAAGAGAGTCGGCTGTGAGCTCAGATAGACGGCCTAAAGTATTCTGACTTGAATGAATCTTTGTCCGTCAGCTGCGTCTCTCCCACCTATGGACTTCTCCAAGTTACTAGGGCGTCTGCGGCATCCTGGCAGACTCTAACTTGTCTACACACCAACGCTGTTTACACAAACAAGCGCGCGCGCACACACACACACACACAAATAAACATGCACACACACACACACACACAAACACACACACAAATAAACATGCACACATACACACACACACACACACACACACACACACACATACACACACACAAATAAACATGCACACACACACACGCACACACACACACACACACAAATAAACATGCACACATACACACACATACACACACACACACACATGCACACACACACTCACATACACAAATAAACATGCACACACACACACACACACACACACACACACACACACACACACACACACACACACACACACACACACACACACACTCACACAAATAAAGATGCATACATACACAAGCACACAAACACATTATAAGTCTTGAACGAAAGAGATAAATGAAATAATCGATCATATATTACCTATATAACGGTGATTGTGGTAGTGGGCATTGTAATAACCATAACAACGATAATTATAACAATAACAATAATATCAATGATAATAATGGTAACAACAGTAATATTGATAATAAGAAAAGTGTAATGTTGATAAAAAAAATTAAATCAATGATAATAATGGCAATGATAATGATAATCATAATGATCATAGTAACAGCAATGTTTGGATGAAAAAAAAAAATCCCATCGCAAATTCACAAAAAGTCGACATTTCATTATAAACCGCTTAACCTTGATGTCATGTGTGACGCACTTCAAAAAAAAACTACGGTTGTCAACGCAAATGCAAATGGACCTGCAACCTAATCTGCAACTTGCATT